GCAAAAGGATCAAGACTGGGCTGGTTTAACCCACAGAAACAGCTGACCTGAACAAGAGGTATGTCTTGGACTCCAGACTGATGGCTGGGAGGCTAGCATGGGACTGATCCAAACCCCCTGAATATGAGTGTCAGTATGGAGGCCTAGGTAATCTATGGGGCCTTGGGTAGTAGATCAGTATTTATCTCTGGCCTACAAATGGACTTTGGTGCCCATCCTACAATGAGGGATGCTCTCTCAGCCTGGACTCTTGAAGGAGGGCCTAGACCCTGCCCTGAATGAAATGACAGACTGTGGAGATCCCCCAAAGAGGGCCTCACCCTCCCTGGGGATCAGAATGGGGAATTGAGGGAGGAGGGGAGAGAGAGGGAGCTGGGATTAACATGTGAAACAAGCTTATTTCTAACTTAAATAAAAAAGGAAGACAAAAGAAAACAATTTAAAAAAGAAAGTTTTGTGTTAATAAAGCATTATGTAATCTATGTTTGGGGATCTTTGTTCTCCCTGGATGTTTATGGGGCATTTCTTTTAAAATGCGGTTAGGTCTCTCAACCACTGCTTGTCCTGTGGGATTGTATGGTATACCAATTATGTGTCTTATGTTATAGTATTTGAAAAACTGTCCCATTTTGCTGGAGACATATGCTGGAGCATTGTTTTATTTCTGCAGTCTCCTGTGGGGACATGGGTTCCTATCCCACTTCTGATACCAGATGAAGATGAATATTAAGCCACACCAAGCATACAGGGAAGGGAAGTCGTATGATACTGTATTTTGGAGAAGTCACTTACATGAGAAGTTGAGAACCTGAGCTCAGGACTCTACTGGTCTCTGAATCTCTACCAGAACTCAAAGAGGCCCTCTCCTTTTCCTCCTAGCTCCTTATCTTCCTGCCTTCTCCCACCTACCTGTGGCCATGACCAAACAGGTGTGGTTAGTGCTACAGCTAAGTGATCTCTCCTTACATCTGTTTATAATCTTTGTTTCTTCAAATGCTACTCCAGGCCTTTGCAAACAGACATCAGGGGTTAAGTTTGAGGCAAAAATTTTGTCAAATTTCATATTTTAAATTTTTTTGATGTTTAAGAATTTGATTTTTTGAGAAGCAGTAAATATGGAAAAAATAAAACATGCATCCAGTATTTATTATAATATCTGCTAGAATTTTCTATTTTGTCACTTATACTCTAGAGAAAAATACTGTGATTTACTCTTATACTTGCTCTTATTTTCTTTTTTTGTAAGGAAATAACATGAAAATATCCCTTTACATTATCATGGTTTTGTAAAGTATAATTGAAATTAATTAAATTAAAAGCAATTAATTGTTTTTTCTTTTGTAAATGTTTGTGCTTTATCTGAAAAAGAAATTAAGTACTGTCAACACCACCAGGGAATCATTCCTGCACGTAACCCTGTAGGAAGCGATAGATGAAGGGATTGGATATAGGGGCTTGCTAGATTCCCAGCTTTACTTGATTTTAATATGTGTCATCTTGTAAAAATTCTCTGTCTTAACATTAAAAGAAAGGGCTTGATGGAAGAGTTAGAATGGGTTGGGGAAAAAGAATGAGAGACACAGGAATTGGGAAAAATTTATGGCTGAAACTGATCCTGAGTGAAAATTTAGAGTACATGGCTAGCATGGTTTGTGCTTCCTTTCTTCCAGGGAGGAAATGACACTTTAGATTCCCAGGGATGCTGGAACCACATGCAAAAAGGGATGGGCAAATTTGTCATTCAGAATTTATGAAGGATATTTTTTCTTCTCACTGACTAAAAAGAACAAATCAAACACTAGGTTTCCAATTCTGAAAATTAGTAGACTCTGGAGAGCCAATTAAACATTATTCCCCTATCTCAACTCTGTTTTAACATCCTTCTTTATTGCACACTGTTTCTTTTGCTCACAAGGCAGGTAGACAGTGTTATCAGGCTAATTTGGGGACAGTTATCATTATAATGTAATTTTTTGCAATTATGTGGTAGACCAGGTGGCAAGACAGCATGGCTTTGCATTGCCAAGGTGCAAAACAAATTCAGTGTTCAATCAACCTGAGAGAGAAAGGACAATTCTCATTTGCATAAACATGTAGCCACGGAAACGAGATGCACAGAGGTATAAGGGGAAAGAGACCTATTTTACATGATGTGCATAGAATATTTGACAGTTTAGATTGGAGGCGTCATTGATGTGGGTTGGAATGGTACGGTTGGTTGCCATGGATATGGTTTTCCCTACTGGCAGTGCAGAGATTGGCAGGGATGGATGCTGAAAAAAAAAAAGGAAAGAAAGAAAAAAAAAAGCCTAAACCACTGCAACACTCCGGCAGCCTCATTCTTTTCTTTTGTTGAAAAGCTATGTATCGTTTCTGCACTAATGACAGCTCATCAAGTATGCAGTGTAATCTAGAAACACTGATATTTCTGTAATAAATCATTCATGTATAATATATATGCATTTATACATTCTATGCACATATATATGTGGCGATCTACATGTATATATTTGGAATAACATGTATGCAGATTAATAAAAGATTAGATTCAGGGGAAAATATTTACTCTTTTCTATTTAATATTAATTTGGTAAAACCTTAGATATCAGATTTCTTAAATAAGATAAACAATATGCAAATGAACTGGATTATTATTTTACTGAGGGAAAGAAGATTGCACAATATGCTTTTGTGGATGTGGCAAACAATGAAAGGAAAAAGGAGTGGCTAGTCCTGGAGCCCAGTCTCTGATTATTTGACCCTTATAGTCACTGTATCGCTGCGTTATAACTAGGAGAATGGTGTTCATCCACGAGAAAACAAGGCCATTTTTATTTCCTTTGTAGGACCTAGCACAACATTTACCATAGCATAAAGCCAAACAGACTATTTATGTTGCATTTCAGAACAACTGAAGGTACTTAGATTTCTTTTTATGAAAGCTCACTCGTTTATTCTCCTGCTTTCATACACTTACTGGGAACCCTGCCTTTATTAAAGATTGCAGGGATGTCTTTTGTCTTTCAGAATTCATTCACTAGCATATTCTGTGAGAAGGGGCTGAAGGCACTCTGGCTGCCCATTCCTGCAGGTTGAGAACTGAAGACCTTTGTCTGTGCTAATGGGCAGCTTTGCATACAGCCCTACTTGGAAGGGCTGAATTCAGGTGCCCAAGTTCTTATGACCTTGGGAATTTCCCCTTAGCATCCTCTAGCCTGTGAAGGAATGTTGAGTGGCCTGGCACTTTTGTGGACTGTCTGTGAGATAACTGGAAACTGGGGGAAGAGTAGCAAGCAGCAGCCCCTGTGCAAACAATGCCCTTCTGGAACATGTCTCCTGCATGTAACAATTATCTTTGCTGCTCATATAGCTGCACTATGGCAAAGAATTACAAACAACTAATATCTACTTGTGCATGTTTAGGCAAATATGTAGCTACAAGAGCAGTTAAGACAGCATTCTGTCACTCCCGAGAAAGGTCTTTCAGACAGAAAGAAATTAGTCTTGTACTAAGACTGAAGCAGGGTGATCACAAGTTCTAAGCCAGACTGACTCCAGAGTGGCAGTGTCCTAACAGGAAGAAAAAAAGTGGAATGAAGAAATTCTTCACCAATATGCAGTTTTCCTTTATTGAATATTTTTGTTAAGCATTTATTTTTTTATTGATAAAGCTGTGAAGAACACTCGTTACTTTTGTTCTTCTTTATAATAAAAGCCATACGAGAGGGTCAGCTCCTGCTGACAATCCGTGCTCACAATTCAAAGTTCCATGAATGCTCTCAAATCTCCTTTGCAACTCAGTATATGAGTCACCAGTATCATTTCTATGAAAACCTAGTCAGTGACCTTAATCTTCTGGTGAGAAACCAGCTACAGTACCACTGTGTTTATTTACGCATTATCCCTATTTCTGAATTTGTTTCTGTCTGTGATGGGTTCTTATTTATTACTCAAAATAACTTGTTCCTGTTTGTGCATGGTGGGTAGGAATAAATATTTGCTGAGAACAAAAATGGGGGAATGTAAAGCTTTAAGTTTTGTGTTTCATTACATTTTAAGCTCTCAAAGATGAAGGAACCTTAAATTTACCTAGATATGTGAGTTTATTCTATTGTCTAAGTCCAACATGCAGATAATGAGATTTAACACTAATTCAGAAGTGTCTAATGAGTACAAATCCTCATGCAGAAGTCAAGATATATGCAAGGTCAGTGCAGCTGTATCATCTGTCCCAGGTCCCTGTACCTGTCTTTTTATATATTACTCTATTGTGATTTGGAATTTTTTTAGCATCCTTTATCCTATTAGTTTATTTCTTTTTTGAGACAGGTTGTCTCTATTTTGAAACTCTACCAAGTTTCATACTTGCATCTTCCTGCCTGCACTAGCCTCCCAAATATTAGAATTTCATAAGGGAGTCCGTGATGCCATACCCCTGTATTATCTTCTAGTTTCCTTTACTTCATCCCTGCTTCTGGTGTGTCCTAGTCTTAGCACTGAAGAAAAGTTAAGCAGTGCTTGGGACATGTTTACCCTTGCCTACCCCTCTGGAGACAGCTGCAGGATTTGAGCATACTCCTTTGTCTTGTGTTAAACAATGTGGTGCTGTAATACTGAGTACCTCACACATAATTGCAGAAATGGTCATGAGGAACTGGGATGTATTGTGCATAGAAACAAAAGGTTTATAAACTCCATTTCCATTTCGAAGGTAAAAATGCTTTCTCATCATTAAAATTCAAATTTTAATCTTAAGGAAATAAAGAAATAAGAGTACGGTTATTTTATGAGCAGAGACCTGATTATTTCACGCTGTGAGTGAAATTCTTCAATGGTCAGAAGGAGAGTTCTGGAGAGGTCTACTTTTCTTGGGCAAGTGCGCACTTGCCTCAATCTCACTCATAAACCAGGAGACAGTCACATGCACTGGGCCTTAAATGTGTTCATTTCAAATCAAGCAGGAGGCCTGACTCTCACACACACACACACAATTCTCAAGATTGGTATCGCTACGTCTTTATTACTACACATGCAGATTGGTTCAGTTTCAGACACTGCCACGGTTTCAATATTATCTCTCTTTTAAGGACTTGTTTGTTTTTGCTGATTTTCCTATCTCTTGAATTTCAGTTTAGTGACCTAATAAAATACAAATTTACACAGCAACACCTTCCCCTCTGACAAGAGATGTTCTCCTTTCTTGAAATACAGACACTGTTCCTTCTTTGAAAGGAGAATAAGGCAGCTGGCTGGCATGTGTTGTGATCAGGCTTATTAAAACAGAAAGCTGGAGCTCACTTCCTAGATCTGTCATTAGGTGATTAGAGAGGGACAGTTTCCCTTTCTGTGTTATTTTCCTCACTTGCGGAATTATGTGCTATGATCTTCATCCACACATTTGGACTCAGGGACACAGGAAACAAGGGTTTCAAACTGTCACCAGCTACTGACTGAGGCTTTCCTCTGAGAGCTTTGGCTTCAGGCTCTGGAGTGGTGGGCCATGTGCTCTGTTGCTCACGGTGGTGCTCCTCTCCTTGCCCAGGTAGAAGTACCGCAAGCCAATGGTCAAAGGCCAGCATGGCTGGAAGCTGCAGTCTTACAGTGGTCAGAATCAATGCATGGTTCTAAGAGCTACTGATGTGCTCTAGTCAATCTGTTGCAGTAGCTTCATTGTTCCCATCTTAGATTTCACCAAGAGCACTGCCTTCTATTCCTCAACCTTACCATCACATAGAGCTTAAGGTCCTTTTGTCTTCCATTTAAGCCAGTCCTTACTTGAGATCCATGAGCACTGGCATAATGAAATGTGGGAGGCATTTGTTGTTTTCAAGGGACAGATTTCCCAGTGAAGACCTCCTGTCCTTATGATGACTTTTCTTCCCCCTGCTGGTAACATTTTATTGACAATAAATTTCTAGTCACAAACTTGTCACCTAATTTCTATAATTAAAATGACCCCATATCCTTGCCATTTTAGGCTACTTCTAGGAGAGAGACACACACACACACACACACAGAGAGAGAGAGAGAGAGAGAGAGAGAGAGAGAGAGAGAGAGAGAGAGAGAGAACTTTACATTTAGAATTACTAAGCAGTGTTTTGTTTCGTTCTCTGACAAATAATGAACTTTTTCTTCAAGGCTAACCTCAAATTTTCATTTCTTTGGTTGTGAAAATTCCACATGTCATTTTCTCACTGTTTTTCTGTCCCACATCACCCATGATGACATCAAACCATGTGCCAATATGAACTTACCCTTATCCAGCCTGCTCTAGAAGATGATGCCCTTCACCATTCAAATTAAATCTGAACCCTGTGTCACTGCTCCTAAGCTGCTATTCATCAATTTTTTCATGTTGTCATGTAACCATGCTGTGGCTTTTTCTAATGTCCTTATCTTGATCATTAATTTTACCTTCTGATGTAGTTGTACTGAATGATATGATTTACAACTTAATAAAATGAGTTTTAAAAACATTAGATAAACTAGTAAATCAATTTTTATAAGAGTCAGCAGTCTGGCATTCTGAAGGTAGACTTAATTTACCTCCTTTGCCTGATTTCATCTCAGGTGAGCTGAATGGCTCGGAAGGATGCTGTGCGGCAACAGCGCAGTCATGCATAATACATAGCAGCTGAATTCAATTTTGATGGTTCTCCTAATGGTGTCCAGGAGAGGACAGGGTGGGAGTTGAAACCCTGATAGGTGTGTTCAGGCTTTGACTTTGAAATCTGTTCCCTACTCTTTTCAACCTTTCTGCCTAAGAACAAAATGTATCTCTAGGGACACAAATCCTGCAGGGAAAGGTGACTTTTTCTTCTTCTTTTTTTTTTTTTTTTTTGGTAACTCACAGAGATTTTAAAATGTACTTAGATAAACTAAAATAATTAAATTAAAACAATAAGGGATATTGGTACGCAACTTTAATTCTGTTTCCTGCTCTAGGTGGGTACTTGGCCAAGGTAGGTGGTCGTCACAACCTAAGGTATTGTCCTCTAAATGGACAGAGTGAATTGCTTTTCATGATCATTTCTCTGCCCAGCTAAGGTACTGAGATATTCCAAATTTCCCTAATAAATCAGTTTGGTTTTATTAATCTATGACTACATGGTGGTCGATTCCAAGATAACAAATAAAATACAGTCTACTGAAAGTCACATTTTTTTTTCTCTAACAATGTGACAGGTTTTTCTATTACCACCCTGCAGACCTTTTGCTTGTGTCTGAGTGGTCTTATCACCAAGCAATGAGAAGGAACAGTCCTAAGGGGGTTTTCTTCTTGTTTGGGGCCAGGAGCTGGTGCTGGTGTTTGGGCAACTTAGCTGTGTTGGTCAGGATTGCTTCAAGCACTCAGAGTAGAGTGGTCCTCCTGCCTCAGCGTTTTGAGTAGCTGCAACTATAGGCACAAGCACCAAACTCCATGAAAGAAATTCTAAGCACTCTCCAAGTGATATTGGGTGTGTGTGTCCATCACCACCTACCCCCATTTACCACGTGCTTCACTCACAGAGCGTTAAGTGGAATGTCCAAACTTAGAAAGGTATTTTTTCTTCTTTTCTTAATTTTGAATGTCCATGCAAAAAACCCTAAATTCAAGTAGGCAACATAGGTGCACATTAATGAAGAACCCGTGACCGTTATTCTTTAGTGAAAAATAATGGGAGATGTGCTTGTAGGGGAGGCATTCTAGGAAGGTACAGACGAAGGAGCAGTGTCACTCCTCTAAGAGGTCTGGGTGCTTTCTGCATTAATAGTTCTGGGACACCTCTTACAGGGTCAAAGGAGAACACTTGATGATCTCACTTGGAACGGCACTGGTGATGGCATAAGTAAGACAGGACCAAAGTGATGGCCAATCTGCATCTAGAATCTCTTTGCATACTGACTTCTGGAATTTGAAAAAAACAGCATCTGGCATAAAAAATACAGATTTTTGAAGTTTTCCAAAGCATTCAAATGTCAGTGTCATCACGGCAATTGTATGCATGAGATATTTACAGTAATTATTTCATAGAAACAAAGGTACATTTGACATTGAATGCTACCAGGGAGAGCTCTAGTGAACATAAACTGATTGTGTCGTCAGATTCTGAAGTAACAGAACAATTCAGTATCAATAAAAGGTGAAGAACTTAATTTTAGGCTGGGTCAGCCTACAGGATGTTATTGCCCACTGTCTCCAACAAAGTCCTAAATGTCACATGAAACAGTACAAAACATGATTCACAGAGTCAAGTACAGTAGCCCAGCTATGAGGCAAGATTAACAAACAAAACAACAAAGAATTCAGCAGAACTTAGCGTTTGTAAAAGAAAATATCCTACTTTACTGTTTTTACTCTGAAGCGTGTAATGTGGCCTTGGAAGAATAAGAATCTAAGCAGCACTGAAATTTTGGGTAGATTAAGGGGTCTCAACATATGTATCCCAAGGTACTAACCCCAGAGAATGCAATTTGATATGTCTTTTTCTTTTAGGACAAAATATACCTACTATTATGTCTTATGTTCCTAGTATTAGGTGCTAACACATTTTAATATACTGACAGTTAAAGGAGTCAAACAGGAAATTATGTAATTTTGTTTAGTGATTGATTTTACACATTTAATTAACCACAAGACCTTTATTGTCTTTTAGAAATTGTATTGCTTCCATTTGGAAAACTCTGGTTTAAACACACACACACACACACACACACACACACACACACACCATAGGACTACTGCAAAATAGCAACTGCAGATGTGAGGATGATCTGGCTCACATTCATCGCCAGAGTTGATTTGACAGATCGGGCTGGCTAGGTGGGTGTCACTTCCTCTTTTATTTACCCCTCCACGTGAGTCCCTCCCAAAGTTGAGCACTTGGTAGAAGAGGAGGACGGCCTTCCCCGAATAGAGGGCGACCAGTCTTAGGTCAAGGGTATATGAGTAGCTGTGCTCCTCTGCTAGAACCTCCAAACAATCTCTCAAAATAGCAACTGAAGATTAAAAAGAAAAAAAAGCCAAGAGTTAGTCTGTTTTGGAAAATGTAAATTTTAGAATGACAACCAAGTATGTAGTTGGCCCATCTGGATTGTCTATGCATGGCTTTTAATAATGGAAGTTTTCTTAGGCATTTAGCCTAGGCTGATAATTTTATTTACTTTTTATAAAATCACAACTGACATATATACAGGAAGAAATTATTATAAATATGTAACTATTAATAATATCTACAGGAAATGACTGTACATCCTTCAGCAACATATAATCTGATAATCCCCCTGCACTAACAGTTCTGATTTTGAATTTTTCCCTGAGAGCTCAGTGCTTATTGTGAGATTATTTCACTGGAATTTAATAGTATAAACCAAGTTATTTTGGTCTAGGCCCACTCTGTTTTTTTCAGGATAAATTGTATTTTGTAAAGGCTTACTTTTGGACAACAAACAACAATAAGCATGTTTATTTATAGCACTTTGTCTATGTTCAACATCAAGTATTTCATGAATAGATCTGTTTCAAGTATTTCACGATAGAACTATCAGAACTGTAACTGAGATAACTGCACTCCTTTCTTTAGTGCGGATTCTTACAGTGTATACACTCTTTGTTTAGAATAATTTTGAAGCTTTATCATTACCTCCTAGGGGCCAAAATGACAAAGAGAGGGCTTAAAAGTAAATGTTCAAATAAAATATAATTTATAAAACTTTTAAATCACTCCTTTGCTGCTGTCCTCTATGGTAAACATTCATCAAGAGCAGACTTCAAACTTCCCCGGTTTTTGTTTTTGTTTTTGTTTGCCCCATGACATTTTCATTAAATTTTGTTAAAATGCATAACTTAATGCAGAAGTTTTGGGGTTAGCATCAAACTACATTTCTGATAAGAGCAATTGTCAAGAGTGCACAGACCAGTCATGTCCAGTACTGAGAGCCTACTAGTTTTAACTCACTCTGGTGGCTGGTACAGGGAAAAAGAGATTTCTGTCAAGAACTCCTTGTTCTGTGGACTGTCCTCATCTGTAAACACAGCTAGAGGGACATTTGTTTGGAAGAGCAGATTTCTTGTTTGTTTTTCTTTTTTTTTTCAGGTAAGTTGCCAAAAATTTCAAGTTTTTGAAAAAGAGGAAGAAGAAGTTATTCGTATAGAACGTGTAATTAGGGTTGTTGACAGAAAGCCAGTCTTGGACTGACATATTGCCCTGGTTTGAGCCACACGGCCTAAAGGAAGTAGACCTTGGCTGGAGCTGGGAGTTTCTACAGCTGCTTAGGCTGTAAGTTACTGAGAGTGAGAAAGCCGCTCCTGGGGATGGCCAGAGTACAGCAGGGTCTTCAGGGAGTGACCACTTCATTTTGCTACTAATGAGGCAGCAATGCCAAACTACTGTGGATTTTACCCAAGGTGTCGTGTAGGCATTTTATAATGAAGTCTCAGACATATTTTGCATGCCTTTACCCAGCAGCCTAACCAAGCTTCAAAGTTGCCATCATTTGATTGATCTCACTCATCTTGTTTTGGGGGCACGGGTGTAGAGGAGAGGGGAAACGTCAGTAGCTGGTTGGAGGCAGATCCCACCAGAAAGCAATAAACTTCAGGATTAAAAAAGGATCTAATTTGTACGGCTAACTCTTTTTGGTAGTTTTAATTTATTTCATTCTACATATACAGTTCTGTGACTGTAACTTCCTTTGCAACAGACCACTCATTAGCTATAGCCCACAGCAGTTAATTTTCTGGTTCTCCTTCCCAGCACTTCTCTTTATTTGTTTAGCTGACAGGCTTTTGAAGCAAGCCTGCAAGAATTCCTGGCTTTTCTCCCTTTTGGTTCCTGTTATTAGGAATATGGACAAGATGCTCATGTGTGTATTCCATCTGAAAATTGTCTATCTCTTGGGAAAGAGTCAAATTGCTTCTTAATCGTCCAGGACTCAATTCTGCAACTATTCATAGGCAAAATTCTTGTTAGCGCCAAGGGGAGTTTTGCCCTCATTTAAGGTTACAGGATCAAGTGGTAAAGGTATTTATAGCCACTCATTCTCTCCAAGAAAATAAGTTAAAGTTGATATGTGGAAATAGCTAAATACACTGCAGATGCCTTTCTGTTTGCTTAAACAGTTTCTCCTAAAATAATTCGCTGAAAAAATTCCCAGAGAAGAAAAAAATAAAAGTAACTTCTAATGAGTACTTTTACCCTCAGCTGTTTTCCTCCTCATTTGCCTAATAAAATGTACATTTTACTTGCAGGACGCAACTAACTATAAAAAGTCCCAGATTCTCCAGCCAAATGAAGAGGCTATGTTTTAGTGATTTATCATTCCTACAACTCATAGGAAAGCTGCAAATGTTAGTAGCCCTTTCAAAAGTCAGACACAATCAAACAGTACTAAAATCTGTTGTCCTTAACCTTATCAATACTCAGATTCTTCTATGGGAGATTTGCCCTTAAAATGAATGTAAAATAGCAGAAACACCAGAGTTCAGGACAGACCCATAGCTCTATTCCACTTTTACAACTATCTCTCTGTGCACAGTGCTTGGCCTCTGCTTTTAATTTTCTCATTTATAACTAAGTGGGGTGAATTAGTTATTCTTGAGTTTCTTCTTGAAGAAAACTCCCATGATGCATACGGGCTCTAAATTTTACACAAGTATTTGACTTTATCTACATAATAGTGAAACTATAAGGATTAAAGCCAATCAGTACCTTTTTATTTTGTATACAACTCTATGGACTTGCTTATTTCCCCAGCTAAATAACTAGTTCAGCCCCAAGAAGAAAGACTTTGTATTTGATTGTTGGTTTTGTAGAGTGATGTTGGGTAAGTGACCCTCAAGTCTGAAATTTATAGTTAACTTATCAGTAAAATAGAGACAATAGTCTCTATGTTAAAGAATTTCTAAAACAAACTACATAAGACTTCATATGCTGCCTATGTAACAGTCAAAGAAATTGTAGCTGTTTGAGTTGTATTGAGGTCTGTAATGCAGATGGCAGTGAAAACATTATCATCGATTTGGGTCTTGGGAGACTTGAGTATTGTATTCCTACCTACCCACACTCTGCCCTGCCAGTAACCGTAAATTCTCCATTCTGATATGTTCAAGAATATGTTGCTAGGTTTTCGACACTTAATATGAATATACTTTCCTAAAAAGGTTTTAATAAGTCTGATAGTATTCAGAATTTTATTAAAACAATTCTTGTTTATCTCTGACTTTGTTAATAACTAGTCAAACTTTTCTTCTGGTGTCTGTATTAGCTGCACTTAGAATTAATTTAGCTTCTTTCCAAAGACAAACAAATTGATCTACATGGAGAACTAGATCCTTCAATTTTATAACACAAAAACTACTAAAATGATAAACTATGACATTTTATGTTAATAATCAAATCTACTTCTTAGTCATTTGGCTAAGGAAGGATAACAATAAGAAATTATTGTTAAAAGACCTCAAAAGAGTAATAAATATTTACACACAGAAATGTCCTTTAGGTTAAGATTACTATATGCTCTTTCCTATTCAAAATGTGTCTGCAATAAATAAACCTACCTGACTTTTTGTTTCAGCACTGTTTTTTTTAAGTTACAATGTATATTTTCAAATGCAAACCATTTTCCTTTCCTAAGAATCCACTAGGGTCTGATTTTCATGTGGCCATTGGATCCCTTCCATCAAATGAAAGCCTGATCGTACTAATTTGATAACTTGATGTACTAATTTGATAACTTGAGTTTGAGTTTCAACAACCAAATCCCTTTGATGAGTTTCAGTTACTCAGTAACACATATTCTGTTATAGCTGAATTTTACATGATTATAATTAATTTTACTTTTGAAAACACCAAAGTATCAACGATAGATTAATATACAAGTCTATTTGCTAAGACTAATCACTCTCCAGAAAGGATGCTGTGAAATTCGTAAAAATTTAGAGAAAAAAATCCTGTTGTCAATGAACTTTTCAAGTATACATGAATAAGAGTATTGGCACATGACTTCAAAATAAAAATGTGAGATTGAAAAGTATAGTGTATTATGTGATAAATTTATATACATATTGCTAAAGGCATCTTGAACTATCATTAAATTTTATTTCTGTAGATTTTATCTTATATAAGGATTACAAATCAAAATGCTTCCAGGGACTCAGCAAGCATCATAACTCTATGGGGTCAGAAACTAAGAAGCTGAGAGATAGAGGATCCTGACTTACAGAACAGCACATACTTTAGCTAAAGCCCTTCACTAATGAAAACAATAAAAAATCAAAATAAACATAGAGAAAGTATGGAGTTCTCCTGATCCAACAAACATGTCATTCACACAAGTGATGTGGAGCTGTGTTTCTACTTCCATTGGGAGATAGTCATAGAAACAAAATACATGGGAAAGTTATTTGAGAAGTGAGGATGGACTAGGACTGAATAGACAGTAACTTAAATTCACTCAGATATCATGAGTCTCCCTGGGGAGATCTATGCCACTTTTTTAAACACAGGACAAAAGAATTTGGGACACTGGTGGGTATGTCTTGATCTTTGGCATAATAAAAAATCCCAATAATGAAGTCTCCTGGGAGAAAGAGACCATCTTCAAAAGAACATGCCTTTTGTTTGTTTTTTGTCTTGTTTGTTTTTGTTTCACACTGTGTTTTATCACCAAAGATATATCTGAAACAAATATGGAAGAAAAATTTAGTCATCATTCTGCACAAGGACATGTCAAAGAGGGTGGTCAAAATGTGTTCCTGCCTACACGGTCTCATCCAGCAAACCCATTCATTCTAGCTTCCACCAACTGAGTTATTCTCATAATTGCTAATCACTCATCTTATTGGTGCAAGATATTCACTGTCATGTGTTTCATCAATGAAGTGGTCACATCTGCAATCCCCTTTACATTTGTGCTTTTGTTTTGTTTTGGTGAGTTTTATGTGGCTACATTTCAGTTGATGAGATCCTAAAGAAATGAGCTAGGTGAGTCTGTGCCAAGAGCCTTCAGGACATCTAGAGATGTCCCTCTGGGTGTTGAGATTCCACTAAGACTAGAAAACGCTGTGGTCTGTAGAGTAGTGAGTGCCCCCCCACTCTGATGTGTGCACAGGACTTTGTGCATTCCTTCCACTACGAACAATCACAATGGTCTTTACTGCTCTTACCATAATCTCTTTGATTATCTCTGGTCAGAAATAAAAGATTTTTACAAAGAGTATTTAAGCCAGTAACTGACAGGGATTTGAGAAATCAACATCTAGCTGGGAACATGAATAGCATTTCTTAAGAATGTGAAAACTAAGCAAGGTATGGTGGTGCACACCTTTAATCCCAACACTCAAGAGACCAAGGCATACAGATCTCTGAGTTTGAGGTCAGCCTGGTTTACAGAGTGAGCTCCAGGACAGCCAGGGATACTCAGAGGAAACTCTTTCTCAAAAAAACCAAACAACAACAAAAACTATGAAGACTCTACACAATCTGCTCAATTCTTCTTGGTAATGGGTAAGCAAGATCTATAGAGCTCTACTGCTTTCCTGTAGGAAGCCAAAGGAGGGTCTGGCTCAGCCTATAGAAGGAGGCTAGAACTTTTTAATGGGAGAGTTTTTCCAAGATATGCATGGCAATAAACTGTAAAGCTGCCTTTGGTTACCAATCACAGAGCTGGACCTAAAATATGCCTAGCACATTTAATTGCAACCACTGATCATCACAGTATTACATTTCATGATCAGAATAGATTTTATTATCTCAGTAAAGTGAGTAAATGCTGGCAAATTACCAAACTCTGAACTTAATAAAATTGTATTACTCACCTTGCAAGGTGTCATCTCCAAGTTACAATGAGATCAAAGGCCCAATCTGAATGCATCAAACCAACTGCAAGTGACTGGGAGGCAGGAAGAATGGATGGGCAGAAGGCTCTATGGAACTTTGCTGCTAAAGAAAAAAAGCCTATATTTTTACCTTTTATAAGTCAAAACCCATGCATACTCTTCCTGTGTAGTAATTGGTCTCCAAAACTCTGGCCTGTGGTTGGTGCTTGTGCACAATCCTCAATAGACAGGTGTGTCAACCCGGTAAATGTTTAAGCTAAGTTTAAGCAAACTCTTTGAGAACACTGATCAGGTAACCAAGATGAAACAATAATAGCCCCACCACTAGTTGGCTGCAGCACTCAGGAGAGCATCCCCGCACCTGCCAGGGCAACGTATTAGCTGTCCCTGTTGGCACAGGCACAGTAGAGTGGGCAGACTGACCAACTCGGGTATCACCCAGGCCCAGATCCAGAGCTTTGAGTTGGCTCACCCCAACATTTACCACATCTGAGAACTGCTGGGCTGAATGGAGGTTCTGACCCCACAGAACCAACGCTGCAGAATCTCCAAGATAGGGGGCAATAACTGAGAGGAGTCCCTTTCTGGCTCCAGTGCAGACAGTGTAGCAGAAGCTAGAGGCCACGAAGCAGACTAACAACTCATTGCAATGAACACTTGTCAGCAAAGCTGTTTGTGCAAAAGGGTAGACTGGGTGACACACTGTGACACATCACAGCTTCAACTGCAGGGTTTTGTTTGTTTTTCCTTAATTTGTGTCTTTATTTTTTGCTTTGTTTTATTTTGTTGGAGAGGCTGCAAGTGTATAATGCAGATAAGGAGGGATGGGTAAATGAGGGGCATTGGGGTACATGATATGAAATTCACAAACAATCCATAAAAATATAATAATAGTAGTAATAATAATAGTAATAAATTAATTAAAGAGGTATCAAAAATTATCTGGCCTCATACTCCTAATTGAAATGATACAAAATAACTATTATCATAGTAGAGGATAGCTTTAAGGGCATACATTGCCTAGTACAGGATACATCCTCTAAAACAGTATACAAATCAAAAACTTACTGAATACATATTATTATAAGCACACAATGTAACAAGAATTTTTGTGGCTTCTTGGATAAACCAGAGAGAAGAAAACAAATAATTCTGTGTTCTTGAGGCTGCAGAGATGGCTCGGTCGTTAAGGAAACTTACACTGTTACACAAGATCCAGATTCAGTTTCCAGAACCCTCCAAGCAGTCTACAAAACCTCCAGTTTTAGAAGATTTAACATCTTCTGACCTCTACTGGTTCCTGTGCCCATGTCACACATACACGTAAATGCTCAGGGACACACATATACACACACACACACAATAATAAAACTCAGTCTAAAGCAGTGTTTAAACTAAACAAACAAACACGCTGTGTTCTTATGAAACGCTTGTGTCAGCAGGGGCAATGACAGCAAGCAATATACAAAAATAATGTAGATCTAAATACTTCCACCATATGCCAAAAGAGTTAGAGGTAATGAAAAAGTAGGCCTGTATAAAAATGCTGGAACTGGGGAAAGCATTGAAAACCTAACCAGGGATGCCAAATTAGGGCTGGTCACTTTGTGAGAGGGTGATTCTTGAATTATGAGTGAAAGGCAACAAAGATATGCCAGGGAGAATGCTGCAGGACCAAAGAGTGTTCTTAAAATAGAAACACATGACAGGATTTAGACAGAGGAGTTACTTTGACTTATTTTAAAAACTTTTAAAATACTGTTCTTAAAATGTAATTAAAAGGCAGTGAATACACAAAATGGAACCAGGCAGAAGATGCTTATAATAATCTTACTGACAACTGTAACTTGGTCCATGATAACAGAGTATCAGTAACTAATTATTTTCTAGGCATATCAAATAGTACAGTCAACAGGATTTTCTAGTATGTTGAATGGGGAGTGTAGAAAACAAGAGAAAAACCAAGATGACTTGATGGTTTAGGACTTGATTCATTGAGAAAGGATGTGGATTTGGGGCATGGAAATGTTGAGTAGGCAATTAACTATGTGTCTAGAAATTTAAACTTGGAAGATCAACATATAGATTGTATTTAAATGCATGAGGCTAGAAAAGATAAATCTCATGAACTTAAATAAAATAAAAAACTGATCTGTGGATAGTACTAACACTTAGTTTGCTAGAGTTGTTGAGGAACCAGCAGAAATATGAAAAAAGAAAAATCTCTGACATAAAAAGAAAATCAGAGATGACTGTGTTCTGGAAGTCAGATGAGGAATGAAGCTAAAAATATCATGTTAAGTATTAATAATATGATAAGAATCAAAAAATGGCTAGTGAAGCACAGTCATCATCAGAGAAGCTTTCCACAGCCAAACATTAGGTGGAACTTGGGTTAACGGGAGGTAGAAAGAGAGGAAGAATTGTAGGATCCAGAGGTATCAAGGTTCAGAATCAACTAAGCAGGCTTCACAGGAGTTTGCAGAGACTGAAGCTGCAGTTACAGAGCCAGCATGGGTCTGGTCTAGGTCCTGTGCAAATAGTTGTAGTTGTTTAGCTTGTTATTGTGGGACTCCTAAAAGTGAGGGTATCTATGACTCTTTTGCCTGCTCTTGGGACCCTTTTCCTCCTATCGGGTTGCTTTGTTCAGTCTTGATATGAAGATTTAAGCATGCCTGGTATTATTGCATCTTGTTATTCTGTGTTCAGTTGATATCCCTGGGAGGCTTGTTCTATTTTCAAGAGAAATGGAGGAGTGAATCTGGGAGGAGGGAAGTGGGAGGATGGAGAGGAGTGGAGGATGTGGTTAAAATGTATTTACTGGGGGAAGAATAAATAAAAAGAAAAATCTGGCTAGTGGGTTCAGTAACAAGGTGATTGTGGCAAGTAATAGAGTCATCTGTAGGGGCAATGAAAGACCAGGGCAGACACATTTCCCAGGCCCTGAAATGTGAAGATTGTACAGGAAGAAAGAAACAAATAGCAAGGAAACCCAGGGACTACCTGAGAGACACTGGCAGTAATAGTCCCTATCAGTCAGACTTCCAGTCAGAGTAAGAAGGTGAAAAGAGTGTTAGAGAAAAGGTTAAAGATCTGGAGATTGAGTGTCTGGGCCTCCTTTGATCCCTAAAGACCATCCCAGTTCAAAGTCATGAATCATATCTTGACAAATTCATGTATCTGTAGGTCAAGTTTAGACTTCTATGTGTCAATAGAATCTACAATCTCTTTTTCAACACTAAGAATATGGAACCTGGAGAAACCATATCCATTGTCTTTCTTTGAAAATACCTTTCTATGATTTGAATATAGTTTGAGTATGTCCCTCAAAGGTTCCTATGATAGTAGGTTGGTCCCTGCTGTGACAATATTAAAAGGAGGTTGAACCTTTAAGATGTAGGTCTTAGTGGGAGGCAGTTGGACAAGAGAACATTGTTTTGTGTGACGTAAATGGTGTTAGCATTCAGGAATCTGTACTGGCCTGTCCTTAGGGTTCTGACAGGATATGCCCTCAGCTGCAGCCACTAAGAGCACCACCTGTGCACATTCACTATGGTCCCTTTTAAAAGGGCCCTACCCACCTCCCATCCTTCTCGCTCTCTTTCTTTTTTCTCCCTCTCTCTGTTCTGCTCTCTCTCCCTCTCTCTTTCCCCCCTCTTTCCTCTCTCTCCCCCTCTCTCCTCTCTCCTGCTGCTCTTGTCTCTGGAGGCTGGTCTCCCCCTTCTCCTTTCCCCTTTTTAATGATCCTTTTCCCTAGTTAAAAAAAACCCTCTGCTTGAACACTGTCACATGACATCTTTGTTTTTCACACTGATTTTCTTGAATTACAACAAATGATAGTATCAAGGAGTGAGTTAATTCTTGTAAGGTCAGGTTGGCACAGAGCACAGCCAGCCTCTGCAGTCAGCTATTTCTTCTGCTGCTCTTCCATGCTACGATAGGAAGCCCAGTGCAAGAGTTGGCGTAAAGTTCTCAGACCTTCAAAATTAGAAGACACAACCTTTTTATTAAGCATTATCTTGAGTTGGGCATTCTATAACAAATATTTCTCTGGAGATAAGGCAAGAATTACCATGAACATTGTAACTCTTCATTATCCTGTATAATATGTAATCCTAAATGTTGGTGGTCTATTAAAAAGGACTGGAGACCACAGAGAAAGAGTAGTCCTAAAAATTTTTCTTAGCAGAAGACATCTTCAAAAGCATAAAGTAGGGAGGTACTCACAGGAGACGTGAATATGTGTCAAGTTCCCTATACTCACAAGGCACATTCCATTCAGCCTCAGAATTACAGTGGAGGAGAATCAGCCATCTCCATCATAAACAGATGATACACTTGACTATTGTGGGAATTTTCATGATTGTTTTCTGTGTGCATTTGCATGCTTACAATGGTTTTTATGCTGTTAGAAAACATATTCCAAATATTTTGTAAGAGTTACTGTATATTATTCTAAAGTAGCTACTATAAAGGCTGATTTTTCAATGTTCATTGAGTGGATGGTTCATCAATTCAATCTCTTTCATTGAATAATTGTGAATGTTTAGTCCTCATAAGGCACCGTATATTTCTTGAATTATGTTTTCCATTCTCTGTCCAACCTGGGTGATGGAACCTGATTTTATTTTCATCTTTAATTTGAGGTTGTTTATATGTGAAGGCTAAGTGTGAGGAAATCCCTAATATCACATAAGCAGAGAAAAGGTCTTTTCTACAATAACTTTGATATTTAAAAACATTGGATATGTAATAGTTTTATTTCAGTTATTGAATATGGCTTAATATTTTAGCAATTTACTCTAATTTAGTCATTCAGCCAAATCACTCAAAGCTCCACACAGTGATTAAGAAGTTCAGCAGTTAGACAGCCCTCATTTAGAATCTTGTTATCACAAATGTGAACTATGCAAATTTAGGCAAATTTCTGACTCTTCTAAGATTTGGCATCTTCATGGATTACACATGAATAATAATGACCACTTCACAGGATTCCTGAAAGGATTAAGATAAACCTTGCAGCACCGAGCCAGAAACACGTGTTTCACTAAATGTTACTTAGTACTGCTATTGTTTATATATTAATTCAGAACATTGTGGACAATAGAAAAAAATTAATGAATACTTTTCACTAACATCATGAAGCATATGTCTCCTTGGAGAAATGCACACATATAGCCATACTGGGAGATGTAAGTACCAAAAAGCAGTCTATGTCAAGAGCAGGAGAGGAGGAAGTCCCCAAACAATGAGGTAAAGTTTAGGTTGAGTTATACTGTTCATTCATAGCTCTTTACTTAAATAATAGCCACAAGCTGGGTGTCAATAAAAGCAAATCTAGCGGCTATAGGATGAGGCTACAGAAACAGCAGCTACCCAGTCCAGGAGTGGAGCTGTGACATTCTAGGGAAGAAGTGCGGCGTCTGAAAATAAGAAGCAAAAGTGGATTGAAAGATTCAAAGCTAATGAATGAAGTCTGACAAAGAGCTGGAAGGAGCAAGTTAAGGCATCAAGAAAAAGGGTCTGTGTTTTGGCCTGTGTGCCCTTGCAGGCACAGTACTTTTTTTTTTTTTTTTTTTTGCTGTTGTGTTTTTGTTTTTGTTTGTTTGTTTGTTTGTTTGTTGAGATAGGGTCTCTCTGTGCAACAGCCCTGACTGTCCTAGAACTCGCTTTGTAGACCAAACTGGCCTCGAACTCAGAGATCCACCTGCCTCTGCCTCCCAAGTGCTGGGATTAAAGGCGTGCGCCACCACCAGCTGGCCTTGGCACAGTACTCGCTGCCCTTACCCACCCCTCTAGTGTGTGGGGAGAATTCCCCATGAGCCTACATGAGCGTTGATGCAGTCATGGGAAAGCATAATGCAAAATGTTCTGTCTCTTTCGAAGAGATTTGGGCTTCGGTCAAGAAAGTAAATCCTTTGCGCAAGGTAAGTCGATTTGAATCAAAACGAGAATTTGAAGCTCAGTTTGCAGTGTGACTTGATTTGTATTTCAGGGTTGCACTTTGTCAAGGCTGTTTTGTGTCCTTCTCTTAGCCTCCTTGCCCATTAGATGTGGTTATTTTTGTCTTGGGCTCATTAAGCAAAGTACTGGCAGGTACAGGCTCTGGCTTCTTTTGAAAGTGACTTCATCTATTGTAACCGTGTTGTGCGATAATGTAACAGTAAGCGCCCGTCAAAGCTCTGAGCTCTAAAGTAGACCTGCAGGACCTCCATTAGCCCTGAGAATGTCACCATTGTGTAGCCGTGCTGACAGCAATGGCAGGGAAACCTACAGGTGGGGCTTTATCCATTTGTTCTCCTCTTGAAGAAGCTCTCCCAAAGACTAGAGGCACAAAGACTAGCTGATTAGAAAAGAAAGGGAAACCCTTTAAGATTCGGCTTACCTCCAGACCAGTCTATACTGGATGAATTCCAGGTTAAGTAAGCTAGCTAGACGCTAAACCTAAGCTTTTCTCTTGTATGGGAGGGCAGCCCCCAGGATTCTGGGGTAGGCAGTCCTTGTACCCCAAGGATCACTAGTTTAAATGACGCTGGCATGTGCTAAGGAAATCGGGAGGGAGTTCTACTTAAGAGGAAGCCCAAAAGGCTGAAATCATTAAGGCAAGAACATCAGTGAAAAGAGGCACCAGTCAGCCTATTTTGGCAAAAGCAGTGCAGATTAGGAAATATATGGCTCCTTAATGAGCTGGAGGCAAATTTTATTATTATTTAAAGCATTGCATACAATTAATTGTTTGGCTACAATATCTTTTTGGATGAGACTGCAGCAGCAGCTTCTCAGATATGTCAATTTTATTCATAAGAAGCAATAATAAGAGACAATTTATTTTTTCGAGCCACTTACGCTTTAAGGCATGTATCAGCTCTTTACAGTACGAGTAGTAAAAAGCACATTAAAACAAATAAGAAGTGAGAGCTGAGAAAACAAGTCTTCTTTCCGCTTCGATCAAAATTAACACTCCAGTTAGTTTGCTATGAGCGGTAATTCCAGGGGATTTGTATGAATCTCTGCCCTCCACTCAACATTCCATTTACCTCTGCAGCCAGGTGACACCCCCCACTCACTCCATGTGTTTATTATGAGGTTTTCTTTTTCATCTCTGCTGTTTCATCTTCTGCTCCAGCCACAGAAGAAGACAGATACCAGTATTAGTTATCAGTATTTCTCAGTGAAATCTACACCATGATTCATATAAGACAATGGAAGCAATTATATTTTGTCCTTACAAACAATGGCATTTCTGTGCTTTCTTACTTTCCTGGAGTTGAGTATTTTTTTAAAGTGTAATGATAAAATATTGTGATAGGTGGCAGCTCCTTTCTCCTAACTGCACTAAAAGCAAAACACTTATTCCTAAGGAATAGCTGTGGATTATACAAATACAATTTTTTTTCTTTTCAATGTAGAGTAAGCCACTCTCCATTTAAAGGAGCAGCCTGTGTACAATCACAGACCCTGGTAGTCTGCCAAACACAATGGGGCATTAATTAACATGTGCTTGGGGATTCATCAACATGCACAGTGCTAGCATGCAATTGGAGCCTTTTTCCCTCCCCTTTCCCACTCTATGCTGACAGCATTCATGAAGGGTCTACTCTAGTATGTAAATCAGTTCTTGCTAAACTCCTTGTAATGGAGTCCCTTTATTTTTCAAAGCTGTTGTCAGAGCTACTCCCATATCTTAGAAAGACACTCTGTCTCTTTCTCTTGTTTAAAAATCCAAGTACAGTAGGCAAAAATAACATATTTGTTTACTTGTCATGCAGACTGCACTGTAAATAAATCATCTGATAAATTACTGCCCCGATATGAGCAGAATGAGATTCATTTCCCTTACTGTTGTAGCAATGGGAATGGCAGAATTACGGTCCCTGTTAGCCCGGGGTGGCTGTGTGCTGGCCTGCTGGCTTGTGAGTGCTGAGAGAAATGCTGCCAGGGACACTGCATCTAACTTTTAGCCACCTTGTGCAAGCGAGTGAAAAGCAAAATCACAGGCGTGAACTGGATTTCAGCTAGTTCTCAGATGTTCCCTGTGCTTTTCACTTTCTGAACCTTCCTCGCTGATTCCATCACCTTGTGCATGCTCTTTGTTGTAGGTTCACTTTTGGACCTGGGTGAACCCGGCTTTGGACAATAGGGAATCTGTCTTCTTGAAATAAAGGGCGGAATGAAAGAAGCAGAAAACAGTGTCCGTATCTTCACTTTAAAAATAGAATATGTGTTTCAGTTTCATCTGAGTTATACATAGCAAAATTTTATGTCTCCTTTCTTTACATAAAATAATATGTGAAAAATGCTTAGCAAAGTACTGAAGTGAATGCCCAATAAAGGGAAAGACAAAGCATTCTTGAGAGTAGAGTTAGATGTGTTATTATTACCATTTATTGTCTTTCATAGCCCAGAAATCACAAGTGTTATAAAAACCATAATGTGATTTTTATGTTTTAATCATTCCAGAAGTATATCAATAAAATGCTTAGTTTGGGCAAGTAGAGGAGATGTAGCATTGGAAGACTGGGTCAGACACTCCCAGCTGCTTCCTAAGTGTTGTGCTAAAAAAAGAGAAGTTTAGAGATTCAAATACCATAGTCTCCTTTCCATCCTGTTCTACCATCATATGGCATTGAGGAAATTACTTAACTGCAAAAAGATTCAGTTGCCTTTTTGTAAGATGGGATATGGCTATAAAAAGACAATGAGATGATGTGTGTAAAACATCTGACAACATGCTGCCTGTAGAAATGACTGAATGGTAGACACACAAACAATACACCTCAGATCTTCTTTCTCCTATGTGCAAGGACAGAGGGAGCGTTCCTCTGTCCAGTCCAGGGGTAAGGCTGCCTTTCCCCCCCTAGGGAAGAGTGGGTTGTCCAACTCACTTGTGCTCTGAGAAGCTGAGGAGGCACAGGGGCTGTCTAACCCTCGGTGCCTTTGGCTTTCTGTGTCGCTCCCCTTGTTTTTTCTCTCTCACAGGCAGGCAGGGAGAGTCGATACCTCCAACTGGCTTCAATAGAAAGGAACCAGATGATGACTTTTAATAAATACAGATTTCAAAATTTAAAATTTAAATGTTAACAAAAAATATCTTCCCATAAATATACATTTTTCTCTTACTGGGGATTTCTTAGAAAATATTTCCATTTTATAAGCATACCTTCTACCAATGTTCCCTCGTGATTATTTTAAAAAATCTGCCTTGAAATAATAGATAATTTGAGACAGTGTTGGTGCAACAGTTCCTTGAGACACGAAAAATTAGTTATACTACCATACAAATTGTTTTTTACTGAGGATATTTTTTGTCAGTTAGTAGATGTGTTGATGCTTCCACGAATTAATTTTCCCTACAGCTCTATTTATATTATATATGAATTTTGATGTATTAAAGAGGTTTTACCTAGGGTTTATTTTTGCCCATCACAAGAAATTTTGGGATGATTTTATTATGAAATTAAATATATTAAAATCTGGTTGAGCTTGAACTTTGTGGGGAATGAGGTTAGTCTCTATGTTCTGCAGGCTCAGCCACTACCTGGGCTTGGAAGGTAAAGTCAGCTCCATAAGAAAACACTTGGAGAGGAAGACTGTCTTTCTGTTATGAGAAAACAGCACATCTCTCGTCCTTCACAGTCATGGCTACATTTGAAGGAAAGTCCCTCAGTCTGAAGGAATTCTGCTCTCTGTGGACACAGGCCAAGCAGGCAGGACCAGCATAAAAGAAAGTCAGTAATTCTGACTTCATGTTTGTTTTTCTTTTCCTTTCTTTCTTTTCTTTTTTTTAAATTTAGATTATATGTTTATCTGTGTAGATCTGCAGAAATTGATATTTAAGTGTTAATTGAAGAGATACTTGTTGATGACAACAGAGCTGTTCCTTTCTAGTTTGGAGAAGTGCTAGGGAAATCACTTTCCCTGTGCATATGGATTTAGATAGAAATGGGGAAGAAGAAAGCCAAAGCAGATGAATCTGGGCTTTACTCTGTCTATTGCTGTTTCTGAAGTTATCTACAGGAATTATACTTTCTTTTAACAACAGTGTCTGTTGAGGACATTTATCTGTTAGAAGTACTAATATGGAGAACTATATGCCATCACCTCCCTAATTGTCTTATAACAGATAATTTTAATTTTCAAAAATACCCCTCTGGAATCATGTACTATTATTTTCATATTCATTTTGCAGATACCTAAAAAGGAACACTGAATATTTCAATACCTTGTCCAGAGTCTTCCACATGGACAGCAACTGAGGAGTACTACAATTCTGAATAGTTCTGCTCTAGTATCAATACCCCCTCTGCACTCATGAAACGCTCAGCCTGTCCAATAAGGAACTGTGGGTTTGAGAGGCAGGATGCTTCACAGAAGCATGTTACCCATCTGAGGCCACCAGAATAAATACCTGGCATTCTTTCCGGCCCAAAATGAAGCTAGGATTGATTACAGAAAAAGCTTATTGAATGAACCAACAACAGATCAGAATCCATCAACATTAACCAACTTGAGGTTAAATTATTCCCAGTTGTTCTGTATTTTGTTAACAATATATAACATCTAATCAGTGATTAGCAGTGACCTTGAATTACATATTATTTGAATGAACCAACATTGGTAGAACAAAATTTTACTGTCATTTTTAGCTCAATCTGCTTGTGGATGTTTTAAAGAATCTCTGTTGATACCACTTGAGTTTTAAGGTAGCTAATTTTTAATTTTTAAGTAACCACTTGGTTGCTTCAAATCCATCAAGATTTCCCAGTTCTCAGTATTGGAAGAAGAAATGGCTACATGGTAGTCTTTGCTTCTTATGCGTTAGGCAGTCAGCTTCTGTCCCCTTTCCCCCTGGATTATAAAGTAATAAAAGGGGAAGGGCTAACACTAGAAAAGTTTTCTTCAAGTTCTTTCAAAATTCATTCTACAAATACTCTCCACGGCTACTACACAATATTGATGGCAAAGATCCCATAATCTGCCTGGGCAGGCTTATATATGATGTGCATAAGGAAAACATGGTGTTTTGGTATCTATCTATATGAAGGAATCTTTCTAACATCAAAACATACATACACACACAAGCCATATTTGAGAAATAAAACATCATGATCTAAAACAATTTAACACCCTTTGATGTCTAATTATTGCCTTTCTGGGTAAAGATCCTAATCTCTCAATAGAGATAGTACTTCAGGAAAATTAAAGGCCAGGTTTCATTACCTGAGACCTGCCTGCCACTGTTTGCTTTCCTCCCTTCTCTTTTATCTTAGTCATACAACTACATATATGCACACATATGTACACAAAGTCACCTGTAGAGGCCACATCTATAAATCACAGCTTTCTGTCAAACACTGAAGACGTGATAATAGGTGAATGAATACTTTTGCCTATTCTGACACATATGATTTTTTTTTCCACTTGCCTCCTTACCACCCAAAGTGACCAAACCCAATGACAACTAAATTGACTGGCTGGCCTTTTGAAATAAATCACTACTTGTATACTAAAACTGCCTGGTTAGGAGACGATTGTAAGGCTACCCTTGAACAATTCGAGACTTTTCTTTCTTTGCACAATCCTGCCCAGTTCGTTCTCATACATTCATTCCTGACAGAAAACATAAGTGAAGGGACAAGTGTGTGAGTGAGCAAGCAGGGAATTCTGAAATTCCTCTTAACACATTTAATGCTCACCTTCCCACTGCTGCAATGGGCACAGGGTCAAGACTCACGAAGCCTGTGCTGTCCAGTTTGTGCAGGGAGAACTTAAACTTAACGTGAAGTATGAGATTCTGCACTTGCTTTCAGACACATAACAAGGGTGTAAGGGGCACAAGAGTTAGGAGCTACACAGAGATTAGAGACAGGCGACCCTGTGTTGCCACACATGGTTTCTATAAAGAAAGTGGCAGCTGGTAGGTTTGCCATGCTCCAGTGAATGATGTTCCCCATGCACAAACATGTGGGCAACACTAACTGACTTGGTGGTTTTTTTTTTTATGAAAACATAGGCAACATGATGTAGGGATAGGAAGGGCTGAGGGAAAATGAGGGGTAGACATCGTCACATTTCATTGTAAAAATGTACAAAGTTCTCAAAAACTTAAAAAAAGAAATGTCAACATTGGAAAAGAAAGGAAAATACCTTAATGCTGATAATTTGTGAGCAGAGGTATCAGAAACATTGCTGTGTGGAAATTTCCTTTTTAAAAACCAGTTAATTTCAAAGATGCTTGTAGCAATCATCTTTGACCTGTTTTTAGTGACTCAATTTGTTTATCCCATTCAAAGTTTTAAGATACTTCTATGTAAATCTCTGATGATAAATGTTGTATTGCCATTTTTGATTAAGCATGGAATATTAAAGAATATCAGCTCAAGTCTAGTCCCCCATTGACATTCAAGGGCTTTTTACTATAAGATCAAGGTTAATGAAAGTTACCTCTGCAATTCCTCAGGCACTTGTGGTCGAGCAGTTCATTTAATTTCTATTCAGTTGGCATCCCCAAGTGGAGTGCCTGTTCTGCTGGAGAAGTAGAAGACACACTCTGGGTGAACTAGAAGCTGAGACACATAGCAGGTCATGTAAAATTGGAATTAATTTCTATTTGTCATTTTCCTAATTAACATTATACTACCAGAATGGAATATTATTTAAATCTTTTTCACCCTATTGGAAAATTTGCTCTGCCCCCATAAAGCATGGTAATTCCAGGTGAATGCAAACTTATGGGTCATATGTTGGCACCAAATAAGAACAACATAAGACTTATTTTTCAACGTTTCCAGATTTTTAAGTTTAAAATCAGAAGGCTAAGCCATGCATGCCCGGATTTATTTCATTTAAAAATCATATTACAACTTACTTGCTATTTATCCTTAATCAGTAAGCTTAGTCATAAATGAGAATTTTCCTCCCTCTAAGATAATGACCTTCACAAAAAATGGAGGGACCATTAATTTTATTTTATATGGTGACATAAAAAATCATTGTACAGTGATTCTTCTTGGCTCTTTAAAAGAAAAGATGCCACAGAGATAATACCTACAATGCAATTATAAAAACACACCAAGACTTTTGTACACAATTAATCAGACCTATAACTGGCTGAAAACATTAGGCACTATGTTTGCAAAGATCTGAAGCCTTCTGTTCAAGTCAGAGGCCTTGGTGTTTCGCTTTTATTACAGGCTTTGGCTGTAACCTGGAAGGCCCTGACAGCTCCCCACCCCAAGGTCCCTTGCCCCGTCCTCTAGCCGTCTGTGTACATCTCTCTCCTCTTCTGCTCTTCCTATGTTTCTCAGTCCTCAAGCACATTAGATCTTGTCTGGGGACTGCATAGATGCCATTTTCCTGCACATCCTGTATCTCTGTGGCTCCTACCATGAGTGTCTTTGCATAAATGTCATTGTCACAATTGTCTTTTCCTAGTTACTTGTAACAGAGTACCACACAATTCTCTGACCACCCCACTGCTTTGTTTTTCTTTCCACCACTTCTCTACAATTACTTTTAAGAACTGTAGTCTTCTATCTACTAACACTAACTGTAAGACCAGTGAGGGCTAGTTTTGCTTGATGCTATTTCTTTAGCCTCCAAATAAACACTCCAGTCATCTTAATGGGCCCTCAAAGTGTATCTATTGAATTAATAGATGGATGGATGAATGAATGAATGCATGAATGAATGGCTTCTCTGTTAACTCTTTCTTGTAAAACTGTACTTTTTGGAGAAGCACAGTTAATAAGAACCTGTGTTCTTTTTTAAATACATCTTTTTTATTAATTTTTGTTTAAATTAAAAACAATCATTTTACATACCAATCCCAGCTCCCTCTCCCTCCCATATACCCTCCCATTCCCCCCACCAGTCCCTCATCCCACCCCCTATCCACTCCTCAGGGAGGGTGAGGTCTTTCATGTGGGATCATCAGAGTCTGTCACATCATTTGGGGTAGGGCCTAGGCATATCTAGGCTGAGAGAGTAATGAAAACAGCTTAATATTGGCACAAAAACAGATAGGTAGACTGGTAGAATTGAATTGAACATGCTGATATTAATCCACACACCTATGAATACCTGATTTTTGACAAAGAAGCAAAAATTATACAGTGGGGGAAAAAGTATCTTCAACAAATGATGCTGGCATACCTGGATGCTGACCTGTAGAAGATTACAGATAGATTCATATCTATCGCCATGCATAAAAGTTAAGTCCAAATGGATCAAAGACTTCAACATAAATCCAGCCACACTGAACCTCTTAGAAGAGAAAGTGGAAAGTACCCTTGAACACACTGGTATAGGAAACCACTTCCTGAGCGTAACACCAGAACCTGTGTTGTTAAGTGCATGATTCAACTTGATACTGAAATTATAATTCCATGGTTTATGTCATGATAATTAAATTCAGGTTCTTCTCTGAAACGCCATTATTGAACTACCAGTCTTTTTGAAGTATTTAAAAATGCAAACCTTTGCCTACCATACAGCTGCTATATTCTGAGTAGGTACTCAACTATTCAAGCATTAATCCTCTAACTCCTAAGGTATGGAAACTCATTTCAGTTTTACACTTGTTAGTGTATGTGCTTTTGCACACCTGCAACTGAGCATATGCAGGCCCTGGGCTGAGGTGACCACTTCACTTTCTGCAGTGTGGTTTGGGGGAGATCAAAGAGGTAGTTGGGAATGGCAACAAGTGTCCTTACCCACTAAGCCATATTGCCATGGGAGAAAACTTGCAGTTTCAATTTTTTTCATTTTCTAAGACAGAAAAGACTGATTCCAGGTACTTCTTGATTGGAAAAGGGCAAATCCACACTGGATTTAGAAATGTCACCTTTTTAGTCTGAATAAGAACTGCTTAGCTATTTTATGTCTTCAGATGGAGCACCCTCCCACCTTCACCCCAGTAGAGAGATACGCTTATTGCCTGAGGCAGCAAGGTCTGGGTGCCCACCCATTTTGGCCAATGTCACTGCTGCTCCTGATGTAACCCACTTCTGTCGTGCTGCCAGCCAGTGCTAGCCCTGCCACCTACAAAACCCAATCCTTTCATTTCCTAAAACCTCTCCCAGCCTCTCCAGATCTCTGTCACTCTTCTGAACGGCTCATTTTAGAGCCCTCTAATGCTTGAGAGATCTTATGCTTATTGCCACTCCCAAAAGGCTGAGACTTTGCAAGTTGAAGCATTGAGTAAGAATTTTCTTGTGGATTACTGGAAATTTGACAAGTTTCTGAGGAAAGAAAGGAGAAAGGAGTTGGCAGTTTCCATGGAATGTGTGAATGGGAAATTTGTATATAATTAAGACTGGGACAAATTATTCCACTAATTATCTCATCAAATTGAATTCAGTCAGGATGCTATAATATAGTGATACTACATAGATTAAAATGTTCTTTCCTCTACAATGTGTTTCATCTTTCAAAGCACAATAAACATCCTACAACGAAAGTTATATGTCAACTTGTTTAGGTTATATGGCCTATATTTACCCGATGTTTCCTGTGGTCAAAGTGATTAAATCAAGGACAGCAATGATTCAGGACAGCAATAGTGAAACCATCTCAGGGGAAAGGAGCTGAGTAGCTGTCCTGCCCACTGTGTACTTCACTCCCAGGTAACTAGAAAGTTCCTTCATTGGGTTATACTCTTCTTTTTTTCCTTTTTTTCTTTGTTTTTCTTTCCAGCTCCCTCTCCCTCCACTTCTCCCCACCACCTCCACCCAATCTCCACTCCATTCCCCACGCGGCCCTCCATGGGGATATCCAGAGTCTGTCATTTCGTTCAAGACAGGGCGCACTCTTCTTTCACTAATGGGTTTTAGCATATGTTTTCAAGTTAGGGACCCAAGCTACACCCTCTTGTATTGCTTCTGCAGTACTTCAGATTTCAGCATGCAGAATGGAAAAGGCTGACCCTGCCCATTCCTGAGCCTGGCATTTGCAACTTCCCTTCCTGTTGGGACCTAAACTCTTCTCAAGACCTCCTTACTGTCTAAGCAAGAAGAGCCCTGACAGCTTCCTGCTGTGGAAAGCATATTTTCCTTATTGACCTTCTCTGGGGTTTCTGCAAGGCAGTTTCTTGTGGATACTCAAATACTCAGCTGACCTTCAAATTCATAGCATGACATCTGTGAACTCTTGCAATATAACTTAATGTTTATTCAAAGTTAACTATTTATAAAGAATGTCTTCCATACGATATCATCATTTACAAATAATTTTAAAATTAGTATACAAAGTAATGGGTTTCATTATGATACTTTCAATATGTGCATTCTTTACATCATTTCCTTTTATTCATATAAAAATGGGGAAATAGAGAACTATACTATCCTGCAGAAGACACCTGAACAATAAGGAATCAAGCATCATCTAGCGGGAGAATAGACCAGAACATGGATGAATCTTCATCTTGGATCAGAAAAATTCTATGAGTTTGTGGGTAATAAGAAAGTTTTAAAGTCACATTTTTTAAAGAAAACTGACTACAAACTAGGTATTTCCAGTCTGATTAGATGTTTTGGATATTTAAGTAAACATCAAAAAATTAGTAGGACTATGTTTCTTAGTAAGCAGAATTAATTTGGATTTTAATCTAGGTTTGACAATAATGAATACCAGACTAAAGCACACAGTGAGATTTGAAGATGAGTTATCTAACCTTATTGCTGGATGTGGTATTTGTCATTATTATTACATTCACAAGGGTGTTAAATATTTTGCCTTGTTAGATTGTATTTCTTGTAACAGTCTTCATACAACAGAAACTAAATTTTTGTGTGCTGAAGTCAACAGTCCCAAGCCAATGTACAACTTCTAAATTAATGGCATTACTCTCTGGTTTAAGAGAAAAAAAGAAAAAGAAAATATTTTCCTAGTTTTAAAATGACAAAGACTGGTGCCATACATAAAGCTTTATATGGAAGCATCTCCAGTGTTATATATGAGTAGAAGGCATAGATCTGTGGATATAACTTTATCAACCTTTTGTCTTTTCTCTTCTCCACTGTGTCTGCCTACTCTTAAGTTTGAGCATGGACATGATTCAATTATTTCATGTCAAATTGTTGTAACTGTGATAATAGTTAAATACTTGGCAAATTATTGAATAAAATATTTGAGGCATTAAACAAATAGGATGCATTAGACCTGTTATTCACCTGTGTACACTATACTCAACTTACCCGACCTGTTTCTCCATCAGAATAACTGTGCTCCTTTTCCAATTCCAATTGTATTAATCTTATACACAATAATCTGTTTTATCAAAAAAAAACCCTTGGAGCTGAAATTCACTGTTGGTATTTTTTATTTCCTCGTTTGCAAAAGTTTCATTAAAAAATAAAATTGCTTTTGTCTTATTTTCCATAAAAATGATATTTATAACGGGTCACATCATTTATCTTTGTTTTCATTAATCACAGTTTAACTGTGTAAAATGCAGATGCCTCTCAGTTCACTCTGAATATGTGAGGGGGATAAATCTTGTCAGAGGAACCTACAGACTGCTTCGTTTG